TCCAAAAGAATTGAGCATAAGGTTTCTAAGAGATAACTGTATACCCACAATCATAGCAGCATTATTCATAAGAGCTGGAACATGGAAGTGGCCTAAGTGACCACCTACAGATGAGTGGATAAGCGAAATGTGCTATATCCACACAATGGAATATTATTCAGCCTCAAAAAGGAAGGAACTTCTGACATATGCCATAAGGTGGACGAACCTTGAGGACATTGTGCAAAGTGAAATAAGCCAGTCACAAGCAAATGCTGTATCATGCTACATCCATGAAGTATTCACAGTAGTCAAAATCATAGAGACAGAAAGAGAATGAAGGTTACCAGGGGCTGGTGGGAAGGAGAGTGGGGGAATTATTGTTTAATGGTATTTAGTTCAGTTTTACAAGAGAAGAAGCGTTGTGGAGATGAGGTGTAGTGCTGGTTGTGTATATGCTGTATCCACTTAGGAATGGTTAAGATGATAAATCTTACATGCATTTTACCACCAAAAAATTAGAAGAATCAAAAATTTAACCAGCTATATCAGGAAAATGATATTATGGAGAGGTTTTTTTTAGTTTCTTTTTTGCACATATGTTTTTTTAAAAAGAAAAGAGAAAATAAAAAAAAAAAAAGAAGGAAAGGTATTCAGTAGTGAAGCAAACTAAAAGCAAGAAGCCCTGCTGATGAATTAACAGGTGCCCTTCCTGGGGTCTTTCAGCATAGGGACCCATAGAACCCACCCCCCGAGCCAGGGTTCTCAACCTTCCTAATGCCGCAATGTATTTTCACAAGGGGGTCACGACCCACAGGTTGAGAACTGCTCCTGTTGTTGCTTCCCTCAGTTACCACTTGGTCAGAGAGAACCTCCCACCATCAGCAAACTGTTTCATCTTTCCAGGAAGAGGGGAGATGTCCCTTCAATGGCATTTTGAGTTTGGTGGAACTAACAAGAAGAGAGCTTAGGGAAACCACAGTGCTTTTTGAGAAGAAAAACTAACCTACGTGTCTGAGATAGCAGTGCCCAGCATCCTGAGAACTCAGCCAGCACAGAGATGACCCTAAAAACATCAGGCTATACCTCCATAAGGCATAGTCAAGAGGGGAGGGTTAGGGTCAGGTTTCACAGTGGAAATTACCTTCACCTTGCTGTTTGGTCAAGGTAAAGTAAGTCAAGCTCATTTTTTAATAAAACAATGTTTTAAAAAGGAGGAAGCTCTTACCAAGGATGTGATTGCCAAGGAGTTACAAAGAATGGAAAAATGAATATCCAATGTACTCCATGCTAACATGAAATCAATATGTAAACAATGGCATGCTCATATGAACAATAAAACACAAATACAGTCTAGTATGGGGGGTAGAGGGAGGCGGGAGGGGGAGGACGATTGGCAGGAGGAGGGACCACATGAGGTGGGATCTGACCTACAGTGCACATTGCCAGGGTATATGACACGCCCCCTAGGGGAGGGGCTCTTAAAAATAAATAAATAAAATGACGTGGGTTGTAGAGTCAATGACTGGGTTCAAATCCTGCCTCTGTCACTTATCAGCTTTGGGAAATGGGGCAAGTGATTTCACCTCACCCATTTTCTGAGTTACGAAATGGGTTTGATAGTATCTCTTACATCATGAGGTTGGTGAGATGATTAAATGAGATAATTTGCTGTACTAAAAACATTTAGTACAGTGCCTGGGGCACCGTAAGCCCCTGATAAACGTTGGCTATAGCAGGGGTATCACACATTCCTCCTCAATAATCTCACAAAACCCTGGGAGGTAGGTTTTATCATGCTGCCTTCAGAGAGGGTTCATGACGATGTGAAGAAATTAATCCATGAACTGTACACTGTAGTATTATTCATATTTGTTATTTTTTGCTTATTGGTAGCACCCAATCAATATCCCTGGAAATGAATCACTCCCAGTCACAGTGACTCCATATTATGATTTTCTTTTTCTGAGCACTAGATGTCACACTAAGTAAAGTTTTAAAAGTTACTCTTCAGAGTAGGGTGTGGCACTGTCTAAAAAATTGGCTATGAAAAATTACAACTTATACATAAACGTGAAGCTCTACTTTAAATTTCCAGTAGAATGCAGTAAAGTTACTTTGACTAACAAAAAAATGCAGAAAAAAATTGTTAATCAGCAAATATAGTTGAAGCAGCAGCGTATGTTCACATCTGTGAAACAGACAGATCCCATTTGTATGCACACAAAAAAATGGTATTTCCTTCCAGAAACAAAGTGGGCTTTCTCGAGGCAGCTTGTGTAGACAGGATTGTTTGTGTTCTGAGATGATGAGAAGCTGTTTCCCTTCCAAAAGGACCAGACATGGCTCTAACCTGAAAGGCGGGGAGAAGGTGAAAGAGATGGCAATGAATATGACGTTCATTAAAACCCTGAAGTGATCTCAGTGGGGAATCATCTTTCTTATACAATTTAAACAATGACGTTGGAGCAGATGGTGTCTTCCAGTCTCCTCAACCCATTTTTTCTTCGTTAGGCTCTCAGAAATCTCGATGAGAATTATGGGTTGAGATTTGCACATTATTTCCTTTTGGAAAACATATGTGTTCTTTTTTTAATGGTGGGGAGTATGGATTCAGTATGTAAAAGAGTTTAGATGATTCTATCCTATTACTTAAATATGTTACTGAAACTTCAGCTAAATTTCCATTGAAATGCTTGGAATTCACTGGAAACGAGAGAATTCGTCTTAATTTTAGCAGTTATAGTACATCTTTAGCTTTTTGAGTTACTAATAATGAGTTTGGATTGTGTGTAATGATCTGCACAGGAATGTAGAGGTACAGTAGAGCTTCTGTAAGTCGACCACCCATGGGACTGCAACCAAAAGGTCAACACACAGAGGTGGTCAACACAAGGAACTAGGCCTGCTGTGCATCTCTGGTCTATGCAAATTAGGTCAGCTTAGGGAGGTGGTTAACTGTGGAGGTTCTACTCTATTTCTGTGTGTAATCAAAGTTGTAAATAATGTCAGTAATGTTTCTTAAGTTTTAGGGCTTCCTAGGTTATGTACCCACTGGATATAATTAGTCCTATATTTGGTAAATACCAGTGCCTTGTTTGTGTTAAAAATCCTCTGGGAGGCGCCTGTGGCTCAGTGAATAGGGCACCGGCCCCGTATACCGAGGGTGGCGGGTTCAAACCCAGCCCCAGCAGAACTGCAACAAAAAAAAATAGCCAGGCATTGTGTCAGGCACCTGTAGTCTCAGCTACTCAGGAGGCTGAGGCAAGAGAATCATCTAAGCCCAAGAGCTGGAGGTTGCTGTGAGCTGTGACTCCAGAGTGCTCTAGTGAGGGTGATAAAGTGAGGCTCTGTCTCTAAAAAAAAAAAAAAGAAAGAAAGAAAAAGTCCTCTGATAAATAAGGTTACTGTAGGTAAAATACTACTCTTTGGGCTTGGGATTTGTCCAGGTTTTCCTCTTTCTTATTCAGGAAGTGGACAACTAACGGGTCATTTTAACGGTGCCTTCTAAGAGTAGGTGGTTCTGTTTAGCTCTCAAATCCTGCTGTGACTTGGAACTTTCCCCCCACCTATTAATATTGCTGCTGCCTTGCATTTTAACACCCGGAGTTTGCCCAGTCCCTAGGGAAGTCTTCCTAGGACTGCTTTTACAATGGCAGCCTCTGTTGCTTCTTCAAAAACTCAAATCACCACTTGGACCATCTACAGGCTAGTTATTGAATATCCACCATGTGGGGCCCTGGAGGAATAAAGCCGCTGTCCCTGCTCAGAGGAAGTAAGACCCCAGCCCCCTGCAGCCTGGCTGACTACTGGGAAAGCTTGCTTGGACCATTACTTCTTAAGACAACTGTCAGAGCCGCTAAGCAGCCTTCCTGGTTTCCCCACTTGACTTTTGATTTGGGGACCTGGGTTCCAGACCCTTCACTCTCCATGTCTAAAGACATGCCTGACCCTTTAAAGGAACATGTTAAGGCTCAGCTGACTTCAATTCACCCAGTATTAATTGAGCACCTGTGATGCGATTCCTGCAAGGAATCGGAAAATGGACAAGGACTGTGTGCCATAAGGAACTTAGAAAAGAGTCGAGAGCGTAGGACAGGTCCACTGTTCAAAGATGGTGTCTTGAGTTTGGAACTCAGGTGGGCAGTAGGCAGCCAAGAAGCAGATGGGCACAAGACAGCATCTGGCAGCACTTCACATACGTGTATCTCGTGTGCTCCTCACGGTAACCCAATGAGGAAACTGAGTCACAGAGAGGCTAGGTGACTTCTCCAAAGTCACTCATCCAGGCAGTGGCAGTGCCAAGCTCACACTGGAACCCACCTCTGAGGAAGCAGGGATTCCCCTGCTCTTCACCCTTTTCCCTGAATAAAGATGGACATCTGCAACTTAGAGTCGCTTTGTGAGATTAGCTAGAGAAGCAGTCCCTGACCTTTTTGGCCCCAGGGACCAGTTTTGTGAAAAACAATTTTTCCATGGACCAGGGATGGAGGGGAATAGTTTGAGGATGATTCAAGTGCATTACATTTATTGTGCACTTTATTTCTATTATTATACACTGTAATATAAAATGAAATAATTATACAACTGCCCCTCATACAGAATAGTGGGAGCCCTGAGCTTGTTTTCCTGCACCTAGCCCAGCCATCCTGTATTTGCAGCTGCTCCCCTAGCATCACACCTCAGCTCCATGTCAGATCATCAGTCTTTAGATTCTCATACGGAGCGTGAGACCTAGATCCCTCACGGGCACAGTTTACAGTGGAATTCCTGCTCCTGTGAGAATCTCATGTTGCTGGTGATCTGACAGGACACAGGGCTTTGGTGTGATGGGGAGCAGCTGTAAACACAGATGAAGCTTCACTCACTCATCACCACTCACCTCCTTCTGTGCAGCCCAGTTCCCAACAGGCCACAGAGTGGTACCAGTCTGCAGCCCTTGAGCTGGGGACTGCCCGGCTAGAGGATCTGTAGACCATGGATTTCTAACATATCCATGAACTGTATTTTTATCCTAATAGGTCATGGATTGACAGCAGTCAAGGAAAAAGCAGGAGCTACCCTACGGATTCACAGTGTAAATTCTGGATCTCCTGAAGGGACCCAAACTGATACTGAACACAGAGTCCCTGAAAGTGAGTGGGGTGTTTACTTAGGGTGATCTTGGACTTGGGCTTGATTACAACATGTGCACAATTAGAAGGTTTCCAAGCTAAGATCTACAAAATAAACTCTGTAAGGATTTTTTCTTCTCTTTAGTAACAGATGTGACTGCAGATCAGGGCCCTGCAGAAAGCCCACCCACCTCTCCTTCATCAGGGTCTCGGGGCATGCTGTCAGCCATCACCAATGTGGTTCAAAACACAGTAAGTCATTAGCTGCTTCCTCTCTTTCCGTGTGTTTCCCAAGGCCTTCTTTTGATATTTCTATTTACCAGTGACCTAGATACATCAGAGAAAAGATGGCCTTGCTCATAACTTTGGATTATAGGTTCTTTGATGCTTTGTGCTACAGAGTAAGCGTAACCTTGTATCCAGAATAATAAGGGCAAAATGAAATACGTTTTATGTTTAAAAGAAAGGAGTTGTTTAGAGGAATATTTTTCAGTCTGATTTAACAGTGTCCTTCCCAGCTGCAGCAAGGACAGCCTCTGGTTGTGGGGAGAGAGAACTCTTCGTCAGAGCTGGGACAGCTGTTTTTCCTAAATGGTCGGTTTCTCTTAAATTTAAAAAATCATAAAACCATTCAAATAACAAAGTACCAGTAATGAGTCAGGAATCATAGCTCAGATGTGTTTCTAAAGTATTTCCAGGCACAGATCACTGTTTTTCCCCCACCGCTATTGAATGAAGAATGACCTATTTAGTCATTCTTTAATTCATCTATAAAAACATAAACATCAGTATGTGCCAGGAGCTTGGTTAGATGCTGGACACAGACTAACAAGAGAGTACAATGTCCTAGAGGTATTAGATGTTCTAGAGGCAATGACCTAGAGGTATGAAAAGAAACCAGCACTATGGGAAACATATGAGAATGTCCTACCCAGACTTTGGGGCTTCAGGGCAAAAATATAGAAAACAACCACTCCTCCCCTTCCTACCTGAGGACCCCTGGACTGGGTAGGGTGAAGGAGAAGCAGCAAATGTGTTTGAGATGTCAGGCACCCCCATGGGGGAGTTTGTAGGACTAAGGACAGAGGGAGCTCTTCCAATGTCTGCTGTAAGACACGAATTCACAGCCTCTCTGTACAGTACAGGGCACTCTGAGTTTGTCTTGGGATCCTCACATTCCCTCCTGTGCTTTCTCCATCCTCCTTCACCCCCTTCCAGATGCCACCACCCCACCAGGTCTGCCTCCCTAAAAGTCCCCTTGTCCTTCCTTCTCCCATTTTATTTCCAATAATGTACTCCCCCACAGGATGTTAGTAGGGAATAAAGCAAATTACACAGAAGTGTGAATTACTGATATCCTTTATTTTATTTTATTTTTTAGTGTATTCCTCTTAAAACCCATTTTAAGCCTGTGGCTGAAGGAGTAGGGCTCCAACCCCATATACCACAGGTGGCAGGTTCAAACCTAGCCCCGGCCAAAAAAAAATTCCACTGTTTTGGGTGGCACCTGTGGCTCAAAGGAGTAGGTTGCCTGCCCCTTATACCGGAGGTGGCAGGTTCAAACCTGGCCCCAGCCAGAAAAAAAAAAAAAAAACATTTTAAAGCATGATTATGGATCGGCTCCCAAATCTGAAACCAAGTCTAAATGCCCAAGATGGATGTGACTAATAAGGTTTATTAATTCAATGAAATTTGATATTGCTATTTAATAATTAATGAATAATTGGGGAAATGCATATAGATAATAATATAATAAAATATAATTTATATCTTTTAATGTTTGGTGGGAAAATGCAGATGTATGCATATTGTAATTCTGGTTACACAGTCAGGGTATAAACACAGACGAGGCTGCAAAGAAACAGACACTGTTCCATTCACTTGAATAGTTTATATGAGTAAGTCTTGGTTATCTCATTTTTTTCAAGAAAACAATGGCTGACAAGGGCATTTTTCAGGGAGATAAGTCTATAATAGAACAATTTTTAAAGCCAGAATTACATGGAAATCAACCTGTCTTATTTCATGAATATACTAATTACAGCTAGTTATTGCTAGTTTCTGAAAGTATGCAAGAGCCATCTGAAATAGCCTGAGGGGCCTACACTCCAAGGCCCTAGATTAAAGAATTCTCTAGAGTGAGAGTATTTGACATTTTAATAGATTGCTCCAAATAATTCCATTACTTGGGTTAAAAATTTTTCAAATAAAAACAGCAACTGGGTCACTTATGAATGTGATGTCTGAGGTACATATCTATTCATACACACAGAGCTGCTCAAATTGTTTTCTTTTTCTTTTTCTTTTTTTAGAAACAGAATCTCTCACTCTGTTGCCCAAGCTAAAGTGCTATGGCATCACAGCTCACAGAAACCTCAACCTCTTGTCTCAGCCTTCCTAGTAGTTGGGACTACAGGCATCTGCCACAACACCCAGCTGGTTTTTCTGTGTTTAGGGATCTCTCTCTTGCTCAGGCTGGTCCCAAACTCCTGAGCTCGAGCAATTCACCTGCCTCAGCCTCCCAGAATACCAGGATTACAGGCCAACACACCCACTCAGAGTCAGTAAAATTAATCCCTAATGTGCTTTAGTTTTTTCTAAGCATCGTCTTTAATAACATTTTATGTCCTACAGATACATGCTTTTCCAAGGAAAAGAAAATAGGATTCAATAGATGATAAATATCTTGATGAGAAAACATTGTGACTTCGTATTGATTCTAATAATCAAAGATAATGACAGTGACCCAGGACTTGCTGAATGCCGTGAAATAGCAAAGCCTAAATGCCTAGTCTCATGCCATGATCTCACCTGCAGGGTAAAAGCGTCTTAACTGGAGGTCTTGACGCCTTGGAATTTATCGGCAAGAAAACCATGAACGTCCTTGCGGAAAGTGACCCGGGCTTTAAGCGGACCAAGACACTCATGGAGAGAACTGTTTCTTTGTCTCAGGTTGGATCATATACTTTTGTGGTTTTTTTCTTTCAGTTGATAAAGTAAACACATTTTTATTTATCTTTTTGAATAGGTAATTTAAAGCATATCATCCAAATTCAAATGGCACCAAAAAGTAGAGAATGAAAATTGAGAGAACCGTTAGTCCCAGATAACCTTTCCCCAGTGAAAGGGAAAGGGAGAGAGGATGGGGTGACATGTTCTAGACTGCTGGGCAGCCTGAGGAAGGCTGGGAAAGCCACAGGAGAGTTCTTCAGAAAACCTCTGACCAAGGAGTGGCCTGTGTCCCCAAACTGTCTGCCTTAGAGTACCTGCTGCACCAGTGATTGGCAGTAGGAGTCTTGGGAGGCTAAAGGGTGGATTTCAAGCCCAGCCACTGGGCCCCTTGATCACTTGTGCTCCCAGGAGTAGGAGGAGGGCTGCAGGGTGCACCTGCCCACCCTCCCCAGGGGCAATTGCAGTTGTCAGTATTTAAATGAGATCCCATGGCTCGGAACAGCATGGAGGCCTTGCAGGGAGTGATGAATGCCTCATTTCAGATATAATTGGAAGATAGACCCAGATTTCCTGATGGAGGGAAAGTGACGTGTGAGATAAAAGCATCATCAAGGATGCTCTAAGGTCTTTTAAATAGCTGGGAGGATGGCACTCCCATCCACTGAGATAGGGAAGTCTGTTATATTTTTCCTTTATACACTAAAGAATGTGTAACTATAGAAACAAGAAATGTACATACATGAACAACTTAAATTGCTCACGTGTGCTATCCCAGTGGAACAGGGCACACTCTTAGAATACCACAGACAGGGTGATACGGGGATTCCACTGATGTCAGTCTCCATGGCTTCCCTCTCTCAGGAATTCTTCTAGGCCAGAATCCCTCACCATTGTTGAAACACATCTTCTTTTCTTTTCTAGAGGGACAATAAATAGAACTGGTATCTCTCCCTAAGCTGTTTATCCTTCAGGCAGTTTTAATTTCACTCCATCTTTGAGTGAATCCTACTCATTCCAGAGCGACATTCTCCTTTCCCCTTCCATTCCATCCCTTCTTCCCTCTATCCCAAAATACATATTGACAAATGAAGGCTGGTATACAGAAAAGAGGCAATTTCAGTGTCACTTTGTTATTTTATTTTACCCCCACCAAGTCTTGAGATGAGTGGGGGTAGTAGGGTTTTATTGCAAGTGTTAAAAATTCCCAGTGCTGATTTCATTGGTTTTTTTGTAAACCTTTAAAATTCAGAGCCTGTACTAATTTAGACTTAAAGACAGACAAGAGGCTTGGCGCCCATAGCACAATGGTTACGGCACCAGCCACATACACCAAGGGTGGAGTGTTCGAACCCGGCCCAAGCCAGCTAAACAACAATGACCAATGCAACAAAAAATAGCTGGTCGTTGTGATAGGCACTTATAGTGCCAGCAACTTGGGAGGCTGAGGCAAGAGAATCGCTTGAGCCCAAGAGTTTGAGGTTGCTGTGAGCCACGATGCCACAGCACTCTACCAAAGGTGACATAGTAAGACTCTGTCTCAAGAAAAAAAAAAAAAGACAAGAGAGAGAATTCTCTCTGCAGCCCCGTGTGTTCTTAGTTAGCAACCTCAAGAACCCAAAAGGACAATAAAAACCAAAGTCTATTGGTCAGTGTCTTCCTGCTTGTGACCTTGTAGTGGTGGCCGGGGCATTTATGGCACTGCCACTGAAATTAAAGAACCCTATAAAGTTAATGCCCTAGTAAACTTAATGAGTAATCAAATAAAAGACACTTAGAATCAAAGAAAGCAAGTACAAAAAATTGGGAGTGACTGATGGACTTGGGTTCATTTTGTTGTCTTTTTATTTAATCACCAAAAAAATGAGGAAAATTATTAATATGGCCAGGAACTCGGTTCACCATTAATACTTTTAGAAACCAGCCTAAGAATTTATAAGCAAATAGCCTTAATTGTATTAAGCATCTGATGACAAATACATTATGATTTTGGATTTATTAATTTTTTTCATTGAAGATATTCTTGCACACATAATTTCAAAAACAGTAAACCTCAGATCAAATTAGACCAGCTGATTTCTGCTTTGAAGTCTGCCTAGGTGCAAAGTTGCAATTAATCCTCTCACAGGGGATGAGACTTTCCCAGCATACATAAAAGTAATCCATTATAGAACACTTAGGCATTTTAAAAAATGAGTAAGTCAGCCACACACGTGGGAACCACCGTTAAACTTCTAGTGCACTTCTTATTCCCAGGCATAGAATTTTTGCTTTGTTTTGCCTTATGCATAATGAACACAGAAAATTCAAAGTGGAACATTATGTCAAAATTATCAGTAGCATCAATCAAAAATTCATTTTCAGAAATGTCCTAGTGACCAAAATCTACCCTTTTTTAATATGAAGTCAGTGCTCCCCATCCTGTCCCCGGCTTACATGGGAAAGGGGGCTTGTAAGCCTGGATCCTCTGTACAGATGTTATGCATTTCTGCAGATGTTAAGGGAAGCCAAGGAGAAAGAAAAGCAGAGGCTGGCACAGCAGCTCACGGTGGAGAGGACTGCGCACTATGGGATGCTGTTTGACGAATATCAAGGTTTGTCACACCTGGAAGCCTTGGAAATTTTGTCCAATGAAAGTGAAAGCAAGGTACGTCTGCACCGCTTGTTGGAAGCAGCATGCCCTATGGCCGCGGTTCTCAGCCTGTCGCCTAATATCTGATTTGTTACAGCTATGAAGTAGCAACAAAAATAATTTTATGGTTGGGGGTCACCCGACATGGGGAACTGTATTGAAAGGTCGCGGCCTTAGGAAGGTTGAGAACCACTGCTCTGCAGTATGTTTTCTAAACGTGAAAGATGCTGGACGAACCTGCCACTAAGATATCTCATTTTTAGAGCCTCGTCATTGTTGTGCTGAGATCACAACAGCCTGATGACCCTCAAGCTCCATATCATCTCCTGTCTGTCCTGTGCCAACTTATCACCCCTCCCCAATGCCATGAAAACCAGTGCAAGAAGAGTGACCACCACCCCAGCATCAGGCTCCTCCTGGCCCTTGGCCTCCCTAGGGTGACACAGTCCTCAGATCAAAGAAGCCCCACCAACCCGCATCTTTACTCCTACCCAGTAAAAACAAAGCACCTGTTACTTCTTTTAGACTGTAAGATTTTGATGTATTTGTGTTCTGGTCTATATAGTTATTTATTTGGCCCTCTGTTAGAATGCCTGGGCTACAAGGGGCAGGAATGTCCTATGGGGTGTATCTTATTTACATGACACTTATTCAGTCAGGATTTTTTTTTTCGAGAGACAGAGTCTCACTTTGTTGCCCTGGGTAGAGTGCTGTGGTATCACTGCTCACAGCAACCTCCAACTCCTGGGCTTAGGCAATTCTCTTGCCTCAACCTCCCAAGTAGCTGGGATTACAGGCACCAACCACAACACCTGGCTATTTTTTTGTTGCAGTTTGGCCAGGGCTGGTCCAAACCGGCCCCCATGGTATATGGGGCCAGTGCCCTACTCACTGAGCCACAGGTGCTGCCCTAGTCACCATTTTAAACACTATGAAATTATAAACTCAATTGTTTATATGGCTCTTTTGAGGGGCTGTCAGCCTGACTGTACTCTGGGGTCATTTTCTAGTGGAGGCCACAGGGCAGTACCCACTGGAACTCCTTTAAGGGCGAAGCTGCAGGCCATCCTGGAGACACTCACTGCAGAGAGCAGGTCCTCTGACAGGAAGCTGAACTTGGCAGTGAGCCTTACAATGGAGAAGTAATTTTTGGCTCTCTGAGCGTTGTCTCCTTATGTTTGGACTTAGCGAAGGCAGAGCCACTCCTGAAGCTGCCTGAGCAGGGAAGGATAACCTGGGCCATGTAACCGACAAACAGGCACCAGACCGGATGGAGACACCCTTCCTGACCCCAGACTGTCAGGTTATTTGTCACTCTCTGCGTTCATTTCCTTTTTGTTATCCATGAACCTTTGATGAAAGTCTTGTGGTTATAACTGTCCAAGGATAACTTTCAAAACAAAAAAAGGGCAAAATTATGACTGTCATACAAAATGACCATGTGTTCAAGAATTTACTTAGCTCATTAATTAAATGAGAGAACCAGACAGCTATTATAACCATTTCAAAGGGAAAGCCAAAGAAGCACAATTGTATACAGAGTAAAGGAGTGTTAGCGTGGACTGAACAGACCCGGTCTCTCCGCGGCAGGAGCTCTCTCCCTGCCACACAGGAGTCATCCACATTTTGCCCTGCTATCAGCTCTCTACAATTTAGAATTGTAAAATTACTCCATAGATTTCAGAATCTGATAATCCAGGATGGTATTAGTCTAGAAAACGCAGTTCTCCACTGAAGCACAGTTTTTTCCCTACAAAAGTGAGGTCTAGAGTCAGATGTGATATTATTAAACACCACTCGGTAGCTATGTGATTTTGGACCCCTATTCCTTCGATATCCTTACTTGGAAATGGGAATAATAATGAAAGCTACATCACAGGATTACTAATAGAATCAAATGAGATGATCTATGTGAAGCTAGTAGCAGCACGCCTAAAACATAATGGGCACTCAACGAGGTACACAGAATGTCGATGACACTTCATTTTTATATGTATTCTTATGTTGTGTTTGTTATTATTAAAAATATAACAAAGGTCAGGTTTGGTGGTTCACACCTATAATCCCAGTGCTTTGGAAGGCCAAGGCAGAAGGATCACTGGAGGCCAGGAGTTCAAGACCAGCCTGAGTGACATAGTAAGACCCTGTCTCTACAAAAATTAAAAATATATGTATTACAAGGGAATATGGTCACCCCATAAAAAACATTACAAGCTATTATAGTAGACAGACATTTCATTCTGGCTGCTTCTAGCACAGATTTCAGTTACGTAACAGCCCCAGGCCCCTTTGGAAAGGAGCCTCAAAGGACTTATGTTGCTGGGAAGGACATTTGGTCCTTGGAGGGATCTATTTCCTTCTGTTTGCACACTGCTCCCGTAAGCTCTGCTTTCTTTCCCTAGCCTGGAGATTTCCGTGGTATTCATAGTGAGGAATGCAGAATTTTTTCTTGACTTAGTAAGGATAATGACTGGGTGCTATAATAATCAATCCTAAAAATGTATGGGTCCAAAGCAGTAGAATTTATTTTTATGTCCTATAACACTCCCAGATACGGGCGCCTGGTCATCAGGTGGCTTTCCTGCATTTGGGGATGAGGAGCCAGGGTCTGTCCACCTCATGGCGCCGCTACACCCCTCCCAATGTACACAGACCTCTAGCAAAAATACAAATAGAGACCTAGACTGGGGTTGCCAGATTTAGAAAATTAAAAAATACAGCCTGACTAGTTACATTTTAACTTTAGATAAACAGTAATTTTTTTTTAGTATGCATATGTCCTATAGAATATTTGGGACATACAGTTATACTGAGAAAATATTCACTGTTTATCTGAAATTCAAGTTTAGCTAGGCATCCTGTATTTTACTTGGCAACCCTACACACACCAAATATTTAAAAGTTAAAGAACTTTTGAAACCAACTGTTAAAGAAAATATATTCTGCCTCTCACTGTGATGGATATCCTTTCCTGATGACCTGGAAGGCCAGCTTTCCGCTTAGAATTCCCAGACTCCTCAAATCTCCACACTACCCCCTTCAGCCTGTCTCTCCCTATGTCTCCAGCTCTGTCTCTCGCCTCAGGGAACCTTGTGTGCACATCTGAGGGTGCCCTAGTTCAAGCCCCACCATACCCCCTGCAAACAGTCATTCTCGGCTGTCCCATGGGCCTGGGGATACCCAGTGGTGTGGGCAGCCTCAAGGAGTATAGCCTAGGCAAGAGGCCCACACAGCCCATGAAAGGGAAGCTTTGTAACCTGGAGAACGTTCCAGAAGAAGGAGTGTGGACTCTGGTGGGCACATCCTTTGGGCCCTGTGGAGTCCCTGTGTCCAAGTCTAAAGGCAGTATCAGATTTCACTGTCCCCTAGGGCACTGTTATCCTCTGAAGTTCATCAGCATACTAAAAGGAGGGGATACTCCCTTTTTTTTATAGTCTTGGCCCAGAAATGCTGCACATCATCCCTGCTGACACTCCATTGGCTAAAACCCAGATGCGGTAATGGAGATGTAAGGAATCCTTATCATTACCATTTGACTAGATCGATTCTAGGATGGCTACAGCATGGCAAGGTGGTGTTCAATAAAGTTAAAAAATCACAATCCTTTTGATTGCCATTATACTCACTTGTTAAATAGTAAACAAACATCAAAATCAAGAAAATCTTCAAAATGGCAGCACACGCCACCTTTCAAGGAAAGGATTTATAAGGTGGACTGTCTACCCTTGTGTCTGAGACACTTAACACAGTGCCAAGCTATAGCCAGCATATGTACATTGAGGAGGGCGTGACTACTTATTTTTATTATTGGAGGGTATGATTACTTATTATTTATTATTGGACTGAACTGAAGATTCAGTGCATGTTGCCTTGGCATGATGGAATGAACTGGTCCTCCTAGGAGGAAACAAACAAGATGCTGTAATAGAAAGATGCTAACAAAAGAGTCCCAGACTAAAAGAACCCTACCGGGCTGCCAAAATATAAACCCATGCGTTCCCTCTGGGAAGGTTGCCATCACCAGAAGAACATGGGAAACCAGAATGTTCCAGGCATCTGCATGTATTTTCACTAAGCATTGTATTCAGACACATTTATTCAATAATTACTATTAGAAAACTGCTGTTTAGAAAACAGATGTGAAGCGCAGCAAGATGATGTGTACATGTCTGGGACTCTAACGCCAAAACATGAGAATGTGAGCTGCAGTGAAGACTCCGAGGTCAGGGCAGAGAGAAGAGGCCTGCAGCCGGCTGGCAGGGCTCCTTTGTTTCCATGGGGTGAACTCTCTGCTGATGGGTTTTGTGTTGACGACTTCCTTCCGGATTCCCCCCATAGCTCTGCTCCGGTGTGTTATGGAGATACACATTAGCCACTGTTAGAACAATGGCATCTTGGCTTCCCAGTGCCCTCCCTGGCCCTGTCACTCATCCCAATGTGCCCATCTACTACCAGAATGAGTATTCAAATTCATTCCAAAGGCGAATGCAGCCCCTCACCTGGCTCTCCCTCCAGAGCAAGTGTTAGGCCTAAAGAACAAAAAAAAACGTAACTGCTTCACAGGCATACTTCACTTGTTACATGGTGCTCCGTGCCCTTTGACTGTTTTGGAAAGTCTGACTGGCCCTCTGCACAAATGATTTTTTTTTTTACATATGTATGTGTTCATTGGGTTTCCACTTTTTGCCTTTAGAAAATTAAAAAGGCTTAAAATTTAATAACAATAACAATGTTTAAGATAAGGACTTGTAAAGAACGAAGATAAATACATTCAAAAAAGAAATCAGATGATTGCTGCATCGAAATATTAAGTAATAATAATAATGTAAAGAAAGTAACATTCACTTTGTCAAATAGGAGTATGTCTACCACAGAATGCTTTGACTCTGAGGTTCAGCACGGAGTCATCAGTTAACTTATTATTTTTTTCCATAATTATTGTCTGTACAAATAATTTTTGAGTGGATACAGAGGACAGTTTCAAAAGAGGGGTCCTGAAGACAGAGAGCAGAGGTGACGTTAATCCAAGTGTCAGCTCCTCTGTGAAGTCTTCCTGCACACCCTCTCCCTTCCCCAGCGCCCCCGGTGTGCCCTCCACTCCCATCTGTCATGGCCATTCTTGGTTGACACAGGCCCGTGTCGCCCAGACAGCAAGATCTGGGAGAAGGAAAATGTGTCTTGGGCATGTCGATAGGATGACTGACATCTAGCAAGTGTATATGTGGACAGATAATACCTATTTATATCTTTACGTGTGTATACACACACACATTTAAATATTTTAAGGACATTATTTAACCCTCAAAACAAGTGTCTAAGGTCAATGTAGTTAATTCCCATCTTAGAGACAAGGAAGCTGAGGTAACTTCAATAAGTTACCCAAGGTCATAGGAAGTGTGGAGCTGACGTTCAGTCCCAGAGTTGACACCCAGTGTGACGGAAGAGCTACCGCCCCCATTTATTTAGCTTCTACTGTGTACACTTGTGCAATGTATTTCATATTCTTTGTCTCATTTGCCCCACAAAGGATCTTACTATAAATATAAGAAAAGCCCGAGAGCTTATGTGCCTTGCCCAGATTGCACAGTTGATAGGCAGTAAAGCCAGCATTCAACTCAGCGTTCCCTCCACACACAGTCACCTCCGTCCTGGGGAAAGTGGGGACAGCTGTATGTAAACGTTATTAATGAGAAGATACAATGACAGTTATGCTGACCTATTTCTTTTTTCAGGTTCAGTCATTTTTAGCATCGCTTGATGGAGAGAAGCTGGAACTCTTAAAAAATGACCTAATTTCCATTAAAGACATCTTTGCAGCCAAAGAATTAGAGAATGAAGAGAATCAAGAAGAAGAAGGTAAAGGGAAAAAAGTTAAATAGCAAGACTATTGGTTGGCATAATAAATAAGGAAATAGCAAGACAACCGGTTGGCATAATCCTGATAAAACTGCTGCTAACAAGCACAGCCCTTTAAAGTGCAGGGCAGAATTATTTAATTCAAGTGTTCACTCTCTGTGCTTCTAAAACACCCTTTGCATCTGTGCTTGTCACGGGGGCTGGTCACATTGATTTATAATCCTCTTTTTCACTGGGAGGAAACGCCTGTTATTTCTCTGCTGTTCTGGCACAATCCTTGGCACTTCACAGGCACTTAAAAGAAGTGTGTATGGTTGAGTGAGCCAAGAGCACAGTGTGCTAAACAGGGCCCGGATGGCCAGAGTTTTTGTCCCAGTTCTAATTTTTATCTGTTTGTGAAAGTTGTTTTACATGTTGCCCATGTTGTTGCCCAGGTTGATGATGGGCAAAACTTTCAATGATTTCTTTGCAAGTTTTTCTTATTCCTTTTAATTTACATGTGTAGGAGTAGGATGTATTAGTGTCCTGCACTTTAACTAAAAAGTAAAGTTCTGACAAAGGCTGTACCATTTTTCCTCAGTGCAACAGGATGTGACATGTCAGGTTGGCAATAACTGAAGTGACACCCAGATACACACTTCCCAGTAATCTTCCAGCCAGATAATGAACTTGATCCCTAGGAGACTAGATTCTAGTTTCTAAGAAGCAAAGCTTCCTTCAGAAGAGAAAAATTATTTCCAAATTTGGGCATGCTTAATGATTGCCTTAGGTTGTCTATTTGAGAGTGAAAGCGAGTAAACCCTTTGTTATGTACATGGAGAGTGATTTCTTACTGGTGACACAGCCAAACGCAGCCCACAGTTATTGCATGGAGATTGTGCTGAAAGCTCCAGCAACCAGAGACACAAGGCTGTCTCATCTAGAACCACAGGAAGGGTCCACTCTTTTAGCTGTATGGCCTTAAAGAGGTTATGTAACCTTTCTGGAAACTCAGCATCTAATGTTGTAAAATGGAGACAATGATACATATTCCTAAGGGCTGTTTATATATGTTAGATAATATGTATAAGCACACGTATTACAGTGCCTGGCACACAAAACTGCTCAGAAATGTTAGCTGTCGTTATTATTTAAAGTGCTAACACAAGGTCAGGAAAATACAAAGGTGCAATAAATTGCAGGTTTTATTTATTATTCTGCTTGTTATTACCCACGATGCAAAGTAATAATAATGTGCCTTCATAAATTTCTGGCAGTATTTTGTGCCCAAGTGTCTTAGACCTTTTTATCGAAGTTCAAACACAAGAGTTCAAATGCTTGAACCTCAATGCTCAGGGCAAAATTATTCTAAGCATTCATAAACTGTCATTTAAACACCATTTCCCTATTTAGCCCACATGCTGCCTTATGTGCTTTCAGTTAATGAGATTTATGCTTATTGCATCAAAATAAAAGAATCAATTATATGGAAGCATAGAAAGAGGTCAGTATCAAAATACAGTTGGGGAATAATGTTTTCAAGCATTTGTATGTTTCTGCAGAAGTCACGAAGGATGACAGTCTTGTCTTTTTTTTTTTCCCTAATGAAGAAACTAAAACACTAGCTGTCAAAAGTCATGCAGCTTGCTGTGTGGATTCAAGATGAATTAGTAGATGCTCCTATCCCAAACTAGCAATTCCCTAAAAGAATCAGGCTGTTAATTCTTCAACTCTTGTGATGCTTGAGGTTGACCTTGGTTCTAGGAAGGATGTCACTTAGGATAAAAAGAATATCCCAAATTCTCCCCTGACAATAAAGAGATATTGTTGACAGTGCAAGTTAAAGCAGTAATACATCCCCACTTGGTGCTATTCCTTAGGAAGCAAACTTGATTCAGTGCTATTAAATAGAACATGTTGCTATAGTTGATATATACCAGTTGTTTATTTTGTTTGTTTGTTTGTTTGTTTTGAGATAGTCTCACTCTATTGCCCCAGGCTACAGCGTGGCTGTGTCACAGTTCAGAAGCAACCTCAAACTCCTGGGCTCAAGCAATCCTCTTGCCTCAGCTTCTTTGTACCAGTCCTATTGTAAACTTTTAATAAATAGGGATTTGTGAATAGCTCACACACACAGGTACATACACAGAGACAAAACTGAAGTGTTAAACAGCATGTTTTAAGAAATGGTAGATTTGTCTCTCCTTAAGTGACAAAACCTTATTACCTCCCCTAATATATCCATTTTCCCAAAGGGGATCTCTAGATTATCAAAACACTATTAATTTTAATTAACTTAATTTAACAAATAAATGTCGTTCAAACACTTAATGAAGAACTGGGAAAAGAGAAATCGTGTTGTTACATCAATGCAATTACGATGGAGTGGTATAACTCCAAAAAAGTCAGAGGATTACCCTACAGAGGAGAATCTTAACAGGTGGGCAGAAAACCCAGGAGCAAAGTTCTGGGAGAAAACAGCATTTTCATCAAATATTTTCCTGGTAAGCATTGATATTCCTAAAAGCCTCCCAACAACTAAATAATTTGATAGTCTGAGAAAATGTAATAAACTGTCATTTTTAGATAAATTTCATATCAGTCTCCTCTACAGTTAATAATGTTAGCTGGTGATTTGCATGTTGGTCTTTCCAGCGGAGTGTAATTTTATCACACTGCCATAGGTCTCTAATTTGATTTACCATGGCTGAGAAGAGATTTTAAAAAGCCATTTTCTATTTATTGCCTTGGCAAACGTCTTCCTGGCCATGTGCACAGATCAAGAGTTGTAGTAATAGGTTTTCTTTGTTGCAACATTTATTATCATCTGTTTTTATTTACTTCCATTTTTTTCTCTATGATTTTTTCCCCTAGAACATTTGCTAAAAGCTATTGGTATATGTTTTGCAGAATTAATGCACCTTTGAAAGTTGGAGCCACACGAAGTCCTGCCTCCTAACTTAGTGTTGTTTCCACCCGTGAATCTTTAATCTCCCTAGGTTTATAGCCATGTAGCACATAATCATTTATTTACATAAAACTCTCATGTTTACAGAACATTTTCCCATTTGTTGTAGCAGTTGGTCCTTAAAAAAAAACAACTTTACAGAAGAGAAAGGTGGGTTTTATTATTTTCAATTTACAAAGGAAGAAACAGAAACTGAGGAAGCCCCATGACTGGCCCAGAGGTTGGGGGGAATCCACACATTCTAAAGTCCAGGGCTCTTTCTGCCTCAACCCTGCCTCATGCAGGATGAGAAGCAGCAGGAAGGTTAGGAAGGAACCCTCGCTGGTGCTGCCCAGGTGTGCCCTGCCCCTCCCCCACATCGTCTGCCTGTGACCTCTGCTCAGCAGAGAGGATCTCAGCTGTTGATGGCACCAGTCTCCCTCCCTCACAGCCCCTCCATCTCTGTCTCCATCTCTGACACTCTTTAGCCCCCCAGCTCTCCCTTTGCATGACTAATGCATTCTCATTCTTGAAGGTTCTGTTCAGGCATCACCACTTCCAGGAAGCCTCCTTATCACCCCATGAAGAACTGGATTAAGTGCTGCCAGTGCTGCCAGTGCTCCCTGAGAGCACCTGCCTCATCAGGCTGAAATAATTTGCTTGTTGCAGTTTCATCTTGAGCAAAGACAATCATCTCTCTCTGCCCCCCTTGCCCTCTGAGACACACACACACACCTCCTCACTCCCTGAGCCTCTGGGGCATCCTTGCTGCTCCCTGAACCTGCTGGCCACACTCCCCCTGGACTTTGCTCCCCTGCATCGCTGCTGGAAGGCTCTTTTCCCCTGCCCCCCTCAGACCTCCTGCATCTCAAGGCTCACCACAGTCCTCCCCCAGGTCATCACTCCAATGCCACCTGCTTATACTCTCTCCCATCTTAGTCCATTCAGGCTTCCATAGCGGAATCCCATAGACTGGGTGGCTTATAAACGACAAACATTTATTTCTCACAGTTACAGAGACTGGAAAGTCCAAGATCAAAGTATTGGCAATTCCATATCTAGGGAGGATCCCTGCCCTCTGGTTCACACATGGTGCTGCATAGTCAAGGGGCCAGCTAGCACCATGGGGCTTTTTACTAAGGCACTAATCCCATTCACAAGGGCTCCACCCTCATGATCTGAGTGCCTCCCCAAAGCCTCACCTCTTAGTAGCATCACACAGGTGATTAGGTCTCAATGGGTGAATCGCAGCACAAATAGTCAGACCACCACTCTTTTATTTACACTGTCTAGACCCCTGCCGCCTCGCTTCCTTTCTCCAGAAACCTTCACAGATGTGCTTTATATATCATTTTGATTATTGATGTCTCCTTCATGAGAATATGTGAATTATAGGCAATAATAAACTGATCTAAGCCATGTTTTGAACCAAGTCCTACAAGCTACCCTGGCTGTCTTCATGAGCTGCTGATTAACCATTTTGTCTACAAAATAGAAAACAGAATATCCAGACAGGTGTTAGATACAGTCTTTCTCACATGGCTTGCAGTTCCCTGAAGGTACTGCCTTCCCTGCTGGCCTAACACAGAGTATTTTCTTTTTGGAGGGTTTGAGATCATGTGATCAGGCCAGATTAATGATGTTTTTATTTCCCCCCAAACTGGTAGTAAACCCATTGTGGAATCAGCTTCTTACCCCCTTTCAGAAACTTTTGAAATAGCATTGCCTTGTATATAAAAATGAGAGAAATTAGATTGCAGTTTTAAAAATTCTCTTTTTTGCCCACTAATGACACTAATTTTTTAATTTTATGATATATATTGATGTATCATGTATAATATCTGTAATCTATAATTAATGTATTATTATATGTTAGGTAATTTATTAATAAGCTATTCAGTGAAAATTCACTTTAGCACTTTTCATGTTCCAGGTATTGTGTTAGATGCTCCAGATTCAGGAACAAGCAAAACAAATACTATCTCTGTCCTTTGGTAGTTTTCAGGGTAAAGGGAAGCCAGATCGTTAAGAAATGTTATAGAAGCAGGTGGCTCACACCTGAAATCCCAGCACACTGGGAGGCTGAGGCTGAGGGATTGCCTGAGCTCAGGAGTTGGAAACCAGCTTGAGCAAGAGTGAGACCCAGTCTCTACCAAAAATAGAAAAACTAGCCTGGTGTCCCAGCTGGTACTTGAAATCCCAACTACTTGGGAAGCTGAGGCAAGGGGATCCCTTGAACCCAAGATTTTGAAGTTACTATTGATACTGGATTTTTGATACTGAATTTCCAGGTTCTTGGTCTCGGCAGTTCGAAGAATGAAGCGACGGACCACAGGATAGGTTTTATTCAACAGGTATAAGTGTTACAGCTCTCACAACAAGCCAAACCTCCTTGTAGAGTAGAATTAGCACTAAGATAGGTTTTATAATACAAGTGTTACAGCTCTTACAAAGGAGCAAACCTCCTTGCAAGTATTTACAGCTCTTATAAAGGGGCAAATCTCATAGAGCAGGATACAAGTGTTACAGAGCCAAACCTCTTTGCTCTTCTCCTGAGATCTGCCCAAGTCTGTGCTCAGGGTCTCTGGCTTATATAGGGGCAGTTGTCCAATGAGCTTTTGGGTCTTGAAAATAGACTAATCATGAGTAGGTTTTGAAAATGGACCAATCAGGGATGCACTGGAGGAATTGCCAGAAGTCCCCGTGAGTAGACAGCACAGCGCCAGTGTCTTTCCCGCATGTGTTGGGTTCTTTTGGCTACTGGAGCCTCTGTTGGGGGAGGGAAGCTCCCCCTTTTGCTCCAGCCTGCTGGTTTCTGCCAGCAGGTCCTCTAGCGCAGCTCTACTGGAGCCTTTGGTGGGGGAGGGAAGCTCCCATCCGTTTGCTCCAACCTGCCGGTTCCTCTGCTGGTTGCTGTCACCAAGACAGAGGTGGCAGGTCCCCAAGCCCTGCTTGGCTGAGCTGGCTGGGGTGCCACTTTTCTGGTAACACTATGAGCTATGACGCTACAGCACTCTAGTCTGGGGAACAGAGTGAGACTTGTTTCAAGAAAAAGAGAGAGAGAGATTGTAGAAGCCAATAGGTATCCTAGGAACCTTGGGGAATTTGAGAATATGTGAATAATAATAATAAACAGGATGATGGTTAAGACTATGTGTGCTCAATGCTGTACCTCTGTGGACAAGGAAGGGTGCTTTGGGTGGCAGCAGGGTTTCAGGGCTGTAGTGCCAAGCATAAGAATGATCTAAGTCATAAATAAATATGCTGCTGTCCCAGGCCTCTTAGCCCTGAGATGGGTCATACATTGTTTGTTCCATCATTCATTCAATACATAGCTGTTGACCTCCTATGGCTGTGAACAAGATGGGGAGAGGTCCCTCCCTGCCCTCCTGATGCTGTTAGCCCACCTGGGGGCATCCTGGGAGCTGCTAGCAGCAGGGTCTCTGGTGCTGCCTCACTGCCCTGCTCACAAATGGGAGACATCAGTCTTTGCCCTGCAGCTGGCCGGTGGGCTACTACGGCCTCCCCTTTGTCTGTCCTGACCTCAGGCTGTAAAGTTGGGGCAGCTGCCACATTTTGAAGGATGAAAACTCAATCGTGCTTCTTACTTCTGTCATGTTCTATTTCTAGGCTTAGAAGAAAGGGGAGAAGAATTTGCTAGCATGCTTACAGAGCTGCTCTTTGAATTGCATGTCGCGGCCACACCTGACAAACTCAATAAGGTCAGCACCATTTGATTCTGAGTTTTTGTTTGACAACTCAGCAAAAAGGGGGCGGGGGGCTGCAGGCAAGAGGGTGTTCTCCATTATAAAATTCTAGAGATCCACTTGAAATGGAAAAAAATCCCCTATGGCACATTGTGGGGGAGGGAAGTTTGAGGTCAGTAGTTAAGATTTGAAAAGGCAACGTAATAAAATGTGAGCACAGGCTAGACTGTCCTGAGACCTGCATTTTAGATGTAATTTTACTAAAATTATTTTTCTAATAACTACCTGTGACCTTGAACAAGTCATTTACCTTTCGAGGCAAAATCGAATGTTATGTCAAAGCAGTGGTTATCACCAGGACAGAGAATGGAAGAGGGGGACAGAATCACCAAGGAGCTTTTCCAAATTCCAAGCTCCCACCCGTCCACCTTGTGAAGAGAAATGCTGAGATTCAGCAGAGACAGTCACATTAACCAGGTTAACCACACATTTCTTCCCACCTGGAAAGAGCCCCCCAGCCTTACCCATCTGGGTTCCTCTAATAATACCACAATGTGTTTTTCGAGATAGTACAAGGTCTGGCTGTGAAGTTTCTTAAAAGAAACTGATCATTAATTACATAAAACGCTGTGATATTTTTCCACTCCCTCTCTCTCTGTGTTTACTCCTTTCTTATTTTCTGAGAGCCATGGTTTCTACACACATTCACTTATCGAGGTGGGAAAGAAAAGGGCAGAGGGAAGCAGTGAGGTGGCGATGTGAGTGATTTCTTTATCTCCGATAGGGGTCACTGGCTCTGCCGGGTCAGAGACTTGAACACAGTGGGAAATTGCCTCATTCATCTCTGAGCAGCCCCTGCCATTGCTCAGAGGGGGCGTGTAGTGGCTCCAAGATTCCACTGTGGCTTATTTCCATAGTCAGAGTAAACCATTGTCCCTAAAAAAGGACACACCAAGGACAGTTTTGTTGGGTTTTTTTCTCCCCAGATCTTTTTGCTGGTAACTTGCGGTTCAGCACTCTGACATATTAAACTTTGATGTGTAAGCTCAGAAACAATTTTTATTTAAATAACCAGCTTAAAATATAATGGGAAAATGTAGGTGAGTCTTTCCTAAATGGCGGGAATAACAGGAAAGGTGGTTTCTTCTGCTTGCTTAATTTAGCCATGATTTAACAGATAGGTTTCTTACACTGCGCTCAGGTGAGATTAAACTGGCCCCAGCCCAGCACCTGGTCTTTCCAACAGCTCTTCCCTTCTCCCCCTGGAGGTTGGAACACCTGCCATGAATCAAAAAGTATAGCGCCATCCTTTGCCCTCCCAGCACGATGTATTATTAGGTTCATGAAACATTGAGAGCTTCATGAGACGTATAAGGAAATTGGCTTTAGCCATGGCCCTTGCTCAATCCTAACCTATATATATATGTATATATATATATATTTTTTTAAAGTACTGTTTTTTTTTATAGTCATGAAAAGTGAAAAATATACTACAGATTTTTCAATGTGACTGTCACTTTTTTTTCTTTTTTTAAGACAGTCTTACTTTCTTGCCCTGGGTAGAGTGCCATAGATAGCTCACAGCAACCTCAAACTCCTGGGCTCAAGCAATCTTCTTGCCTCACCCTCCTAAAGTAGCTGGGACTACAGGCGTCCATCATCATGCCTGGCTATTTTTTTTTTTTTTTTAGAGACTGCGTCTCACTCTTTCTCAGGCTGGTCTCAAACTCTTGAGCTCAGACAACCCACCCGCCTTGGCCTCCCCTGTCATTTTTTCTTCTTAACCAAACATCCTTTTAAGATACTTTTTAAAAAGTCCTCAGGTCCTGGCAGTGTTCTCCCCATGCTTTCTTTCTATTCTGTCTCCTTTTCCAACTTTGCCAGAATTCAACATCAAGGTTATCTTTTAAGGGGCTTGAGGAATTGCCAGTTCACCCTTCAAACACCCAGCGATCTACCCTTGAACCTTTAGAGAAGCCTGTTTCCAGTCATGGGGTTGGAATTAGTTTCCATATTTACACAATAAAGATGGTGTTTGGTTGGGGCCTTTGCAGGCCATGAAGAAGGCGCACGACTGGGTGGTGCAAGATCAAACCATGGTGTCAGTAGATGTGGCAAAAGATTCAGAGGAGGAAACAAAGAAGCAAGAAAAAGAAGAGAAGCCTGAAGCTCTCAAAGAAGACAGAAAGGAAGAAAAGAGAACTAAGACCGTAGAGGTAAATTTATTCTAGATTGTCCCCCTAAAGGGCAATAATATGTTCATTTCATCAGCAGCCCAATCTTAAGCAAGGAGAGGTCATTTCTTCTTCATTTGTACCCTATTGCATATTCTAGAAATATGAGTACAAATGTGATAAGCACAGAAATTTCTCTATGCCAAAGCAATTTCGTGGCTAAGCACAGCTTTTCTTCATAGCGTTACAATTGTGATTTAAAGGAAAAAAAAGATCTTTAAGAACATAGTTGATTTATCTGTAGGGTGGCTTTCCATCTTACATGCAAATGTGTTACTATAAAACGTCTTTATGCCTCATGACTAATGAAGTAATTGAAGCTTGTTTTAAAAAATTTCATTGCTACAGCTTTTATTCTGTGGTTTAATAAATTTATGTGGTCATAATTTATATCCTTTCTGTGTTCAAAAAGGAGTTTGCAATAACTTCATCTTACATTGAATTTTAATTTTAATGGAAGTAACTTTTTAGATTAGATGAGTCTAAGGAAAAATCTCCCTTGAGGTGTGTTCATTCAGCCTCCCCTCCATGTACCTGCTCCAGTGCCTGTCTGTGTGTACTCAGCATAGCTCTAAGTACTGGGGATGCAGCTGTGAATAGCTTTGGCACATCCCTGGGGACTCAGCAAAACTTCCATTTCATAGCACCATTTTGCTTAGAAAAGTTCCATGTTATATTTGTTTTTTATTTTTTAAGAATTCAATCATTGGCTGCACACAGTGGTTCACACCTGTACTCCTAGCACTCTGGGAGCCCCAGGTAGGTGGATTCCTTGAGCTCAGGAATTTGAGACCAGCCTGAGCAAGAGCAAGACCCCATCTCTACTAAAAATATAAAAACTAGCCAGGCATGGTGGAACACGCCTATAGTCCCAGCTACTCTGGAGGTTGAGGCAGGAGGATTGCTCAAGCCCAAGAGTTTGAAGTTGCCATGAGTTACAATGCACTCTGTCCAAGACAACAGAGTAAGACTCTGTCTCAACACACACATACACAAAAAAGAATTCTACAGTTTTTAATATTATAGCATTTTTAAAAAGCATCTGCTGAGTGACTGATTTTCTTCCCTGTATTTATTTATTTCAGGAAGTATATGCGTTGTCCATTGAAAGTCTGGCAGAAGTAACAGCCCGCTGTATTGAGCAGCTTCATAAAGTAGCAGAATTAATTCTTCATGGACAAGAAGAGGAAAAACCAGCTCAGGACCAAGCAAAAGTTCTGATAAAGTAAATAAATGTTATCTTCTTTCTTTCTTTAATTTTTACATATACATGTGATTAGGTTTCCACTTTTTGCTTTCATAGAATTAAAAAGACTTAAAATTTAACAACAATAACAATGTTTAAGATAAGGCCTAGAAACAAAAGCCTCTTAAAGAGTGAATGAAGATAAATACATTCAGAAGGGAAATCAGACAGTTGCTGCAATGAAGTATTGAGCAATAATAATAATAGTAATGCAAAGAAAGTAACAGTCACATTCTCAAATAAGAGTATGTCTATTATAGAATGCTTTGACTCTGAGGTTCAGTACAGAGTCATCAATTGACTTCTTTTTTTTTTCTAAAGTCTCAAAAAATCGACAACTGATACTTATAAATAAAAATAAAAGATAATTTCAAAAAACAGATCATGCCAAATCTTATAGACAATAGAAAAAGAAGAAATACTTCAAAATCATTCTGCTTAATCTGGAAACACCTGATATTAAAATTGGAAAAAATGTATTATTATAAAGGGGAAATTACAAACATAATTCACTTTTAAATGAGGATGAAGTATTCTGTGTCCTAAACAACATATTAACAAGTTGAAGTAAACATTAATGTTTAAGTAGTGTACTTTAGTCAAAATTGAATCTAATTTATGTGAGGTTTCTTTCTTTCTTTTTTTTTTGGAGATGTCTCACTTTGCCTGTCTGAGTAGAATGCAATGGTATCCAGCTCACAGCAACCTGAAACTCTTGGGGATCAAGTGATCCTCTTGCCTCAGCCTCCCAAGTAGCTGGGACTACAAGTGCCTGCCACAACACCCAGCTATTTTTTAGAGACGGGGTCTCACTCTTGCTCAAGCTGGTCTCAAACTCCCGAGCTCACGCTGTCCACTCGCCCGATTACAGGCATGAGCCACCACACCTGGCCCACGTTATTTTATTTCTGACACATGTTATGTTTAATTCCTATTTTTCCAGTTTTATATATGCGTGTGCCATTCAGATACACACATGTACAGACCAGGCCACTAAAGATCCAGATTTCAGGTCTTTCATTGTTCTATGATCATCTTAAGGAAAGAAGGGCCCCTTCAAGAAGTGCATCATATTAATAAGAAAAAGAATAATTAACTAGGAATTATTTCTAGAAACTCTTTATGGAAAGATTTAAGGGAAGACACTATAAATCATTCCAGAGACAGAGGCACAAAATCATTTATTTTAATAGAGCAAAGTAGGCAGCACCTATGGCTCAGTGAGTAGGGTGCCATCCCCACATATCTAGGGTGGCAGGTTCAAACCTGGCCTCGGCCAAACTGCAACAACAGCAACAAAAGTAGCCAGGCATTGTGGTAGATGCCTGTGGTCCCAGATACTAAAAAAAATAAAAAATGAAAATAAAAGGATAGAGCAAAGTCTTGGAAGTACAGACTTTTGAGGATAATTACATTTTCAGTCTACTACACCAATAGAGAAAGGAATTGCTAAGCTGGCTAATGTCTCAGCTGGCTTCACAGGAGTAGACGAACACACTTGACTGTTCCTAGGGACGTGCACCAGCTCTGAGTCTGAACTCTGGTGTGACGGTCAGTGTGGATTGCACATGTGTACATATGTGGTATACATATTACGCTCTTTGAGAAATAGTAGCTATTATTATTAGTATACCGAGTGAAATAAAAATACATGTATATATAAATGTGTATGTAAGATCTAGTGAATATACATGAAAATAGTTGGTGGCTCAGCGCCTGTGGCTCAAGTGGCTAGGGCGCCAGCCACATACACCCAAGGTGGCGGGTTCAAATCCAGCCCGGGCCCGCCAAAAACAACAATGACGGCTGCAACCAAAAAATAGCCAGGCGTTGTGGCAGGCGCCTGTGGTCCCAGCTACTTGGGAGGCGGAGGCAAGAGATTCGCTTGAGCCCAGGAGGTGGAGGTTGTTGTGAGCTGTGATGCCACGGCATTCTACCCAGGAGGAAAGCTTTAGTCTCTGTCTCAAAAAAAAAAAAAGAGAAAATAGTTGGTGTGGAGCTAAAAAGCAAGCTCTTAACCTTTATGCACATAATTGAATTTTATACTATAGAAAATTAGCACAGGCCCAAGTACCCTCCTGTAATTAGACAAACAGAGAAGCAAAAATAAGAGCCCCTAGAAATATACAGGGACCGTCACACGCGTCTCAGCACGCTCAGTCACTTTGGTAGGGAACTAGTCTCTGCCTATTACTGTGTTTGGCATTATAGTTTGAGGAGTAGGTTTCAGGGGAAGGCCTCCTTGGCTAAAGGTCTTTTTAGTATTTTTGTACGGGTGGCACTTTTCCTCACTTGTAAAGATATGTCATCTAATCTAGCTTTTCATATCCAAGCATATAAAAATCAAATATAAGAACCATAAAATGCCACCTTGTAATATTAAGGATATGTACTGACTTAACATATAGAAGAAAGAGCAAAGGGAAAAACAGGGAAAATTTGGAGTATTGAGGACAGTCTCTAGGCACTATCTAGGCACTGTCTCAGCAGTACTGATTAGAATGCCTGAGTCCCTGAGTGTGGATGGGATAGGAAGACCTTACCCTTAGCTCCTTTGTGTCCCAACCTTCCTAAGCTTCACCAATCCCCTGACTGGTCTGTGTACAACAGATGTCTTCCCATCCACCTGCCCAAGAACATAGAATGGCTCTGGGCTCTCTCCTGGTCTTACTCTCAACCCCTTCTGCAGACAAGTTTTGGGTGGATGGAAGAATGGATGGATAGATGGATGTATATGGGGCATCAAACCTAAAAATAGGGCCCCTCTTTATCAAAATAGAACTTAACTCTACTGACTTTACTACTGTTTTTAACAATTTCTTTCTTTCTTTCTTTCTTTTTTCTTTTCTTTCTTTTTTCTTTTTTTTTTGAGACAGAGTCTCACTATCTCACCCTCAGTAGACTGTCATGGCATCACAGCTCACAGCAACCTTAAACTCTTGGACTTACGGGATTTTCTTGCCTCAGCCTCCTGAGTAGCTGGGACTACAGGTGCCTGCCACAATGCCTGGCTATTGTTGTTGTAATTATTGTTTGGCAGGCCCAGGCCAGGGTGTATGTGGCTGGCTCCCTAGCCACTGAGCTACAGGTGTCAAGCCTACTTCTAACAATTTCTTATGTGGCAGGCACCAGTAATCCGTCCTACTTGGGAGGCTAAGGCAAGAGGATCAACTTGACCAGCTACTTGAGAGGCTGAGGCAGGAGACTCGCTTGAGCCCAGGAGTTGGAGGTTGCTGTGAGCGTGATGCCATGGTACTCTACCCAGGGGGATAGCTTGAGGCTCCGTCTCAAAAAAAAAAAAAAAAAAAGAGGATCAACTTGAGCCCAAGAGTTTGAGGTTGCTGTGAGCTATGACACCACAGCCCTTTATCGAGAGTCACAAAGTGGACTCTGTCTCAAAAAGAAGATTCTTAATATGGGGTTATTAGACTATTTATAAAAGTCATATATACTAATTATTAGAAAAATGGCAAATAATACCCACATTTATTAGGTAATAACATTGTTTTCAATTTTTGTCAGTCATAATGTTAGGATAAATATTGTTTTGGTTAAATATTTGCATCCATCATACCTTATTTTCTTGGGGTAAAGTCCTAGAATTGCAATGGCTAGAGTAAACTTGAAATTTTTCTATAAATCATAAAAATATATTCTACAGGCTCTTAACTTTGAGGCATCTAATAAAGGAATAATCAAAATATCAAGAGAACACCTGAGTTTGAATCCCACTCTACTACTCACCACTGAGTGTCCTAAACTGGTTACTTAACCTTCTTAAGTGTCAGTTTCTCTGTCTATATATAATGAGAACATTAGTATAACCCATAAGGTCACTATGAATATTAAATATGATTAGGTATAGCAAAATGCTTACCATAGTGCATCAGTAAATGTTCGTTATTATTTCTGAATTACCAAAAAGCTGGAGAAAAGCCATCTGGCCAGAGTTTATACCTCTGTACACGTGGCACTCCAGCCTGGTATTTTCCTGCACTTGATTTTGATTCTAAAAAGAGGTCAAGTGAGTTAGATGATTATTCCTTAATTAAGCATGGAGAGAAAACCAGGATTAGATGGAACCATGATTGTGAATCATGGACGATTACTAAGCAAAGCTGTCTGAGTGCACATTTCTGTGTAGCATCTTCAAGCACATCTATGCTTCTTTTAAACTTAATACTGTGGTATCAGCAATTGTCATGACAGGTAAATTATTTTATCTTATTGAAAACCTCCAAACCTCTTTTTTCTTGTTTTAGATTAACTACTGCAATGTGCAATGAAGTGGCCTCCTTAGCAAAGAAGTTTACAAATTCCTTAACCACTGTTGGGGTAAGATTACAATATTGATTTTTTTCCCCCTGTTTTAAGGGAAGTAGGTCTGTGAAAGGCTTTGAGGAGACGTGGAGGATGGAGTGCCTTCTTCAATAGCCCCACAGAACAAGCCACACTGTGCTGTAAGCTAAAGCCAGACTTAGGGCTCCTGTGGGCGGCTAAGGTGCACTCCTCTGATTGGGGTCGCCCTGAATCTGCCGTCTCAGACATATAAGATGTAGGGTGAGTTTTCAAACTGCAGTGGGCCTCATTTTCTTTCTTTTTTTTAAGGGTCAGGTGATTCTTTCCATTACAGATAAATAGGTATATAGTCTGTGAGATATATATACATATATATATATATATGTATATATATCTCACTCTGTCACCCTGGGTAGAATGCTATAGTGTCATAGCAACCTCAAATTCTTGAGTTCAATCAATCCTCTTGCCTAGAACTACAGGGGCCTGCCAGAACACTCCACTAGTTTTTCTATTTTTAGTAGAGACAGGGCCTGGCTCTTCTCAGGCTGGTGTCAAACTCCTGAGCTCAGGTGATCCACTCACCTCGGCCTCCCAGAGTGCTGGGATTACGGACATGAGCCCCTGCACAAGGCTGAAAATAACAAATTTGGAATATTTTCATTCACTGCTGTCCTCAAAGCCTATTTTATAAGCCAGACAAGAAGTTTCTTGGTTTTTATTGTCACACTTCAACTGTAATGCAAAGAAAAATGTTACCAATTGGCTTAAGTGTTTCTATTCTCAGGGTAACAACTTTGAAAGACTCAGCCTTTTTTGGGAGGTGTGGGTTCTAGCTGTTTTCTTTAGAAATCAGCACATTAGCCGGGCCCAGTGGTTCACACCTGTAATCCCAGCACTGTGGGAGGCTGAGGAGGGACAATTGCTTGAACTCAGGAGTTGGAGACTTGCCTGAGCTCAAGTGAGACCCTGACTCCTAAAAAAAAGAAAAACCAGCCAGGAGCCCAGGCAAGCACCTGTAATCCCAGCAGCTTCCAAAGGCTGAGGCAGTGGGATGCCCACAGCCTGAGTCTGAGGTTGCAGTGAGCTATGACACCGTTGCGCTCTGCTCAAGGCATAGGGTGGGACTCTGTCTCAACAAAAAAAAAAGGGAAAGAAAAAGAAAGAAAGAAATCAGCACATTATATAGCTCCACCTTAGTGGTCCCAGAAAAGGCAGGTGAAAAATATTCCCTTTAACCTTCCTACTTTTCCTTCTAAAGCCCTGGATGCAAAGTCTGATGATTCCTTCTATGGGAAACAGCAGGTTTTAGTACCTGTGGGAGTTAGGGTGTTCGTTGGTTGCAAGGTATTCGTTTCCTCGGGTTGCTAAGTCACTCCCTATGTGGCTTAAACAACAGAAATGGATTCTCTCTCAGTTCTGGAGGCTAGATGTCTACAATCAAGGTGTGGGCAGGGCTGTGCTCCCTCCAAAGCCTCTGGGAGTGGATCCTTCTTCCTTGGTTCTTCCTGCTTCTGGTATCCCCAGGCATTCCTTGGCTGTGGCAGAAAAACTCCCGTCTCTCCCTGTGTCTTTACATTTTTCTCTCTGTACCTTCACATCATCCTCCCTCCCTGTGTGTCTGTGTACAAGTTTCCCTCTTCTAATAGGGACACCAGTCCTATTGGGTTAGGGCGTGACCGGCAGGACCTCATCCTAACTTACTACATCTGCAACAGTCCTCTCTCCAAATAAGGTCACAGTCTCAGGCACTGGGGGTTAGGACAATAAGGCATCTTATTGGGGGACAATTCAACCTATAACAGGAAGCAACAGAAACAAGTTCCGAATAATTTAGACAGAAAAGGAGCTTTCTGAAAGGCAGAGTAGGCACATGAGCAGCTGTGGGCACCCAGCATGGAAGCTCACGCACGCTCTGTCTATAATGCAGCTATTAATGTCACTCAGCGACAGCAATTGCCAGACCCTGTTTCTCTCCATTTAGAGCCCTGGATAAGAAGGTTTGAAAAGCCCATCAGCATGGATCAGATGTCCCCCTCAGTTATCACTCAGCAGCAGACAGGGACAGGGTCACATCTCATAAACCTACCTGGCTGCTGTGGTGTACCCCTTCTCCCTCATTAGACCAAGAGCTGTTCTCAAAAGAGCAGAAAATGATCCTGGGCCTAGCTGTCCCCCCAAAAGGTGTCTGTCCCCCAAGCTTATATAAGTAGCTCAGCCAATAAGGGGGGAGCTATACACCACCTACTGTGCTGTCTATAAATCTGGTTTGACACAACTGCAACAGGGGCCTTACCTAACAAATGCAAACATTGTAACTTAATCGTTTGTACCCTCATATTAATCTGAAAAAAAAAAAGAAATCTGGTTTGCTTCTCCTATTTTATAAAATAGCAGCTTGTACGTTTATCTAATTTTAGTATTTTTAAATTATTTTATTTTATTTTATTTCATTGATGGAGTCTCAAGCTATCACCCTGAGTAGAGTGCTGTGATGTCACAACTCACAGCAACTTCCAACTCTTGGGCTCAAGCAATCCTCTTCCCTCAATTTTTCTATTTTTAGTAGAGTTGGGGGGTCTCGCTTTTGCTCAGGCTGGTCTTGAACTCCTGAGCTCAAGCAATCCCCCCTGCCTCAGCCTCCCAAAGTGCTAGGATTATAGGTATTAGCCCCACACCCAGTCTGTTTGTCTAATTTTAGGTCTTCAGCAACAGAACTTGACAGTACATGAATAGAGTGACAGGGAGGTGAAAGCTCATTGATATGAACATCTGGATAAATCCACCTGTGTGCTCAGTGTGTCCAAGTCAGCCAATACCCATGGACTTGGGTGTAAATGCTAGATTTGCAGAGAGGTGTGAGGTCTTCACCTTGGCAACCCTGGTTCCCAGGGCTCTCTTGTACCTTCTTGTCATTCTTTCCACTAAGGCCCAGAGGGTGAAGTGATACACCCATGTCATTCAACTGATCTTTCAGCAACCAGTTGGCTGCCTCTCAGATCCGTCAGACAGATAGCCAGCTGCTTGGTTCACAGAGTGATTGCTGGGGTTGAGCGTGTGTGTGTGTCTACAGGGGTATGTGTGTGTGTTATGTTTTATTTGATTCACGTTAAGAATTAATTCCCATACAGTAGTGCATACTCTTCACGGTACTGCTTTATATTCCTGTTTACATATCGTATTTCAGCACAGTGCTTCTCAAACATATGAGCCAGTCACTTGGAGATCTTGTTAAACTGCAGGTTCTCAGGTCTAGAATGAGAACTGAGATTTGATGTTTCTCATGAGTTCTCAGGTGATGACAATGTTCCAGATCCACTGTTCACCACTGATGTGGCAAGGCTCTAGCAGATGGGCGTGTACTTGAACTTATATTTATACACGTACATATCCACCCACATGCACAGATGTTTGTATGCACAAGATCAAGAATACACAGTTATCATTTTGGAGAAGAAAAAGCTGAATTTAAAATAGAGTTTGCTGAAATGCCATCCTACCACAACAATGCCCCTGATTCTGTGCTATGATGAATCATTTACATCAAGTCATCTTTTCTCTTCTCTAAAACAGCCATTATTCATAACTTGAAGTTAATGAGTGCACATTGCTCTCCAGACTCCATTTAAATCGCTTGCACATCTCATTGATTCTGAAATCCAATGTCATTTTATTGCCCTCATTTTGATTATATTTTAGAGGTTTATTGATAATCAAATAAACATGAAAGCAAATACCATAATGGATTTTGTGGTTACTTACTAAAATGACTGAGATTTTAAAGAGTTTTTTCCCAAGACTCTATTGTGGTTTCCCTAGTAAGACATTTCTCTACCCTCAACAGAGTAATGCCCATGAATATGGGTTTCTGTGGGAAGATTTTTAAATTTACATATTTTTGCTTACAATAAACTCTTCCAGGTAAAGTAAGAGAACCCAGCCTAATATGAGCACTCTCTCTCTTTAATCATTTATGGTCTAAGAGTAGACTGAACATTTTAGACAGAGAAGATTCTTGATTGATAAACCCCTACCATATAAAAGGATAATGACAGTAATGCTAGCTTTCACTTTTTAAACACATACTTTATTCTATGCTCCGTGCTTCATATATATTTGTGTTTTCAAATTTGGATGTGTAGACCTGTTTGAAAGTTATATTTAAGAATGTTTTAATTTTGCTGCTCTTCTAGAAGATTCCCTATAACTAAATATCTTTGTTTTCATTTAAAGGAAGAAAGAAGGCTGGGTGCTGTGGCTCACACCTATAATCCTAGCACTCTGGGATGCCCAGGTGTAAGCTCAGGAGTTCGAGACCAGCCTGAGCAAGAGACAGACCTGTCTCTAAAAAAATAGCTGGGTGCTCTGGTGGGTGCCTGTAGTCTCAGCTCCTTAGGAGGTTGAGGCCAGAAGATCTCTTGAGCCCAAGAGTTTGAGGTTGCTGTGAGATATGAGCCACAGCATTCTACTGAAGGGTATAAAAAAAAAAAAGAAAAGGGGGGAAAAAAGAGAATAAAAGACTAACCCAGAGCCTGGACTAGGTTAGATGAGTGAGGGACTTAACTCACCTGCAAAATTTGAGGAGGCACAAAAAAGAAAAAGAAAAAAGAAATCTCAGTCATCTAAATAGATACTTTAATGCTATATATATGTTTTTGAGATACAGTCTCACTCTGCACCCTGGGTAGAATGCTATGGCATCATAGCTCACAGCAACCTCAAACTCTTGAGCTCAAGTGATTCTCTTACCTCAGCCTCCCCAGTAGCTAGGACTATAGACATCCACCACAATGCCTAGCTAGTTTTTCTGTTTATAGTTGAGATGGTGGTCTGGCTATTGCTCAGGCTGGTCTCGAAATCCTGAGCTCAAAGGATCCTCCTGCCTTGGCCTCCCACAATGCTAGGATTACAGGTATGAGCCAATGTGGCCTATGCAATGTTTTGAATAATAAAAGTGGAAATCAAAAACACTATGATCAACCAAATGTCAAAATTATGTGACCTCAGACAAGTTATCCAACCTTCCAAATCCCTATTTTCTTCTCTTTAATTTGGAATTATCATGATGTCTACCTACCTCCTAAGATTTCTGTACAAATGACATAAGACCATACAAGTGAAACACCAACACAAAGCCTGGTCTGTAGTAAGCATTCCCACTCCTCCTCTTCCTCAGAGACCCCTCTGCACAGCCAGTGTATTACCTTTTATGTGGCAGCCATGCAGTATGAGCACCTAATCTGTCAGTTTTGTACTTTTGATTCCACAGAGTGACAAGAAGGCCGAGGTCCTTAACCCCATGATCAACAGTGTGTTTTTAGAGGTAAGTGGCCCCAGAAAGAAAGTACTTCTGAATCAAAGCAAATGTTAGAGCTACTTTTTTTTTTGTCTTCCTCCCAGGGAGTAGGTGTTATTGTGATTCTAAATCTTATCATCAACAGTCTTTTTTGAGTACATCTGTGTGGTTCAACCAGCTGTAAACTGTCTGTTGAAGTAACAATACCTAATTTTCAAGAATTCCTGATTATATAAAGAAACGCTAAGCTTGCAGGTTATTTCTGTCGCTGTTTCCTCCAGCAGAAACTGATTTCTGCTGCCAAGTTTGACTCTCGATGTTAACACTGTGGTTATTGGCTGCAGTGAGGGATTATTGCTCAGTGGTGATTTTCATCAAAATGGGTACCCTCCCCCCTTTCACAGTATCCTTTGGTTTAGCTGGGTCTATGCTCCAAGCTGGCAAAAATGCCAAGTAAAGTATTTGGCCTTTCCCTGTTCAGTGACAAGGGGCAGCCTCCTCTATGACCACTTACTGTGTGGTCTGCCCACTCACCAGGAATTTGTGGCATCTGTTGCATACAAAAGAAGCTTCCTGGACCCTGCTGTGTCTTTGCCAGGAAAAGTGATGGAAGGGAAGAGAGCCCCAGGAAGCCTCCCAGGCTCGCAGCATTCAGCTATATTCTTCCTGCTGAGAGAGGGTAGATGATCAGTGGACCAGAGTCTTCCACAAGAGGCCAAACTTTAAGAAACTGGCATTTCTTCTTCCATTCTGATTTAAACAGAGCCATCTCTGAAGATGACGCATGAACAGCCAACAACACATGAAAAAATGCTCATCATCCTTAATCATCAGAGAAATGCAAATCACAGCCACTCTGAGATTTCACCTAACTCCAGTGAGGTTATCCCACAGCCCCAAACCCTAAATCTGCGTGGGTGTGGAGAGAAGGGAACACTTTTGCACTGCTGGTGGGACTGCAAACTAATACAACCTCTGGAAAGAAGTATAGAGAATCCTCAAAGAACTAAAAGTGGATCCCACAATCCCATTATTTGGTATCTAAGTGCCCAGCAGAACAAAAATCATTTTACCATGAGGACATTTGCACTAGAATGTTTATTGTGGCTCAATTCACAGTTGCCAAGATGTGGAATCAACCCAAGTGCCCATCAACCCATGATTGGATCAACAAACTGTGGCATATGTAGACCATGGAATTCTATTCAGCCATAAGAAAAAATGGAGACTTTACATCTTTTGTGTTTACCTGGATGGAGTTGAAACATATTCTTCTTAGTAAAGTATCACAAGAATGGAGGAAAAAAGTATCCACATACTCAATACTAATATGAAACCAATATTATAAACAACTACAAGTCCACACTAAAGAAAAAACACTGATATAGTCTGACAAGGTTGTAGGGAGGAAGAAGGAGGGAGGGTGGTTGGCAGGATCTCACCTAATGCCCATCAAATGTGAGGGTATTCAGCAACTCCCTGGGTGAAGGGCTCAACTACAACTTGAACTTTACCTTAGAAATGGAAACAATGTAACCTAAACATTTGTACCCTCATATCAATTGAAATTAAAAGAAAAGCAACTGGCCTATCTGTAGGCTCACAGCACTCAGCTGAAGCCACAGGCATTAACAAGCTAAGTTTGAACATGGGTGATGTATATGCAGTTTTGTTCTTTATGAAATAGCTGTCAATTGCAAAAGTTGAAAATTACAAAACTACCTATGTATTTATAGCCATGTTTCAGGGACTTGTATCTTACTCTTTGGAAAAATCACCAAGGTACAAAGATAGCAAAGTGGTGGCACCGAGGGTTTAAGATGCAGCCACACAGTGCAATGGAGGTGACCAGAAGGGCCAGGACCTGCAGGAGAAGGTCCTTGGTGGACAGACACAGCTAAGAGTAAACCCTGGAAGGCAAAGGCTGAATGTGGCCTAAGGAAATCTCTGTGCTGGCCACCCAAAATGGCATCAGCAGATTAATGATAATATGAGTCAAGAGTTCTTTTCATTTTCCCAGTGGAAGTTGGGTTTTTTTTGGGGGGGGGGGGTTGTTTGTTTGTTTGTTTGTTTGCAGTTTTTGACTAGGGCTGGGTTTGAACCCGCCACCTCCAACGTATGGGGCCAGCACCCCACTCCTTTGAGCCACAGGCACTGCCCCCCAGTGGAAGTTTTCACATGTTTTAGTTACCTTTCCCTTCAATGGCCTATCTAATGCTGTCTGTTAGGGTGACACACACTAACAAACTAGTGAACAGTGCCCTCAGATAGACAAACTGAGCAGAAGGGACCATGCAACAGAGCATGACAGTATTCAAGGGTTTCCCATGAATAGTTAGTTACTCAGGAATATCTCCAAAGCTTGACGTAAACCCTTCTTGTTTAGTTATCTATAGGTCAGGAGAAAATGACCTCCTTCATGCTGTGCTTTCATGTTATTTCAGGATAGCCAGGTTGATTTGGGAGAGGATAAAGACTGATCATGTTGGGCCATGAATATACACACAGATGTCTATAGGAATCAGTGTCTCACCTCGAGTGAATTCTTCTCTCTCTGTTAGTTATAGATAATTAAAAGTTGGACATGCTGCATCCAAGAGGATGTGTTTACACTTGCTTTAAGCACCAATATGGTGAGAAAAATATAATCCAATATTGGAGGAGCTTAAGGAGAGGGAATATTATCAAACTGAGAGAATGGTCAGAATTAAACTATAAAAATAACCCCCGACCTCCTTTCCCCTTTCACAGGGCTGCAACAGCACGACCTACGTGCAGGACGCCTTCCAGCTGCTGCTGCCCGTGCTGCAGGTCTCGCATATCCAGGCCAGCTGTTTGGAAGCACAGCCATAACCGGGCCAGGTCTAGCTGGCTCCGTCCAGCTCACATGGCAGGACATGCCACCAGGTTGCTCAGTATTTAAGCGGATGTTTTCTGTACGGCTGGCCACAGACACCCATTTGAGGACACTACAAGCAATTTTGCACAGTTTTAAGAATGCAAGTTTAAAGAGGGTTATCATTTCTCTTAATGTGTATGGGTTGTTTCTACAGATAATTGTGCTTTCTTTAAGTTAATTTAAACCTATGTGGCTTATATGGAAAATGTCCTTGAACCTGAAATTCATGCACAAATATTCATGTCCACTTTCCTAGGTATGCACTCTATATTTAAAAATTCATGGGCAGACCCTAGGTTGTATTTAATCCTTCAAGTGGCTACCTTTAAATGTTCCATTACTTTAAATCAATTCTGTTGTTTTTTTTTTTTTTTGAGACAGAGTCTCACTATGTCGCACTCAGTAGAGTGCCACAGTGTCACAGTTCACAGCAACTTTAAACTTGGGCTTAAGCAATTTTCTTCCCTCAGCCTCCTGAGTAGCTGGGGCTACAGGTGCCTGCCACAACACCCAGCTACTTTTGGGGTTGCAGTTGTCATTGTCCTTTAGTAGGCCTGGGCTAGGCTCGAAACTACCAGCCTCGGTGTATGTGGCTGGCACCCTACTCACTGAGCTATGGGCGCTGAGCCTAAATCAGTTCTTATACTGAACTTATGTTACATAAATGTCATGGGTGAAAATAACACTTCTCATAGATTTTACCGATTATGGTAAAAGAGGAATATAGTTGTCTCTTTATAGTCATTCATTCTTGCAAAAGCATTTATTGAGCACCTACCGTGTGCTCACAAATAAAGGAATATGCTCTGAGAGGCCAAGGCAGGTGGATTGTCTAAGCTCAGGAGTTGGAGACCAGCCTGAACAAGAGTAAGATGCCTGTCTCTACTAAAAATAGAAAAACTACCAGGTGTTGTGGGTTCATATAGTCCCAGCTACTCAGGAGGCTGAGATAAGAGGATGAATTGAGCCCAAGAGTTTGTAGTTGCTGTGAGCTATGCAGTCTACCCAGAGGGACAGAGTGAGACTCTGTCTCAAGATACAAACAAACAAACAAAAAGTACAATAAAGATCTCACTCCAGAAGAGACAGACAATGGGTTTACAATAATTCTTAAAATACTAACAAATTTTTGAAACCTTAAAAAACTTTAAGAAAAGGGTATATTGGTGTTTTGGTTTTTTTTTAATTGGCAGTTTACTCTTCCCTTTATTGCATTTTCCCACACTCCTTGAACTAATTTTTTTTTTTTGCAGTTTTTGGCCAGGGCTGGGTTTGAACCCGCCACCTCCGGCATATGGGGCCAGTGCTCTACTCCTTTGAGCCACAGGCACCACCCACTCCTTGAACTATTTTACCCCAAACTCCATACGTGGGGTGAAAATATGTCTGAAAGGGAGTGTCAAAGAGTATTTAGCTTATAACTGCCTTCTTCTAATCCTAAACACCTGATGGCAGAATTACAAAGCTTGGAAGTATTTGTCCCATGAAAGGATCCTATGTGCAAAGTGACTCCCCCCAAATGTTGGAAGAGCCCAGAAACCAAATAGTAAGGCAAAGGAACCCAGGTTATGATTTATTAGGGGGACTTACAGATAGAAGCATGGTCTTGGGTAGCCATGAGATGTGTACATCTCTGCACCACGACTCGCCCCAGTCCCAGGGATTATATCTTGGGGAGAAAGTAAGCGCATTCTGGAAGGAACGTGTAGATGGCTAAGAGAATGCTGCTGGAGTCACAGCCTGTGGTTCTATGACAGTGTATCAAGGGTTTGTTGTGGAGGAGAAGTGAAACTGATAGTGAGTAGGGGTTCCTACATACGGAGGAATACATCAGCTAGACATTTTGGAGCCATTCCCAGATTTGAGGTTAGCCAGGCAGATTAGCATTTAAAAAAAATAAAGTCACTCTTGTCCCCACAGTAGTCAAGTAGAGAATTAAAGGGGTTTTAACACAGTAGACTCCCAGAACTGCATTTTAAAATCTGCACAGAGTACACTCACTGGTGGCAAGTGCCATTATCACTTCCAAAGGACAGAAAATACTGATGTGTGTTTTGACTAACTGGTATATTGATCAGTGGGTGGATGCACAGAAGTCTCTGAGCTGCCAGGGGCCCTGGCAGGGGACATTTCTCCTGGGCTCCACGCACTCATCACGGGTGAGGGTTCTGTATAATGCTTCTGTTTCAGAACACCGTTGACATCCCTGGAGGCACAAGTAGTCCTGCCCAGTGGTACTCTCCAGGGCAAATGAAGCTTGTAGTCTTGGAAGAGTAAAAATCTCTTATTCATCTTTGCTTTTATTCCCCTGATAAAAGAAACTGCCTTTGCTCCATACAGGCAGGGTGGGGACATGTTCACACCATCCCAATGGTGAGCTGTCATTCTGTCTATTAACATTTCATTTGTCTGGGCCTTGTTCTGCATTTGTATCTCTCCTGAAACAGCCATAGAAACATAGAACAATTTATTTACAGTCTGGAAAATAATTCTCTGGGGAAGCAATTAAACATGTTTTTTCCCTCCTCTTTTTGATTACCTGAAATGTTTCTGTTATGGAGTCCGGAGAATGATTAACTGGTAAAAATGTTGGATTTGCTACTTCATAAATTTTAGACTTTTTAATGTCTTGCATGGAGGAAATGATTTAGGTCTACAATTTCTTCACATCAGCGGGGTATTTTTAGCATCAGATTCATTTAGACGTTAACTAGAAATGTAAAAGAGAAACAAGTATTTTTTAAGGAGCTAAATTTCTAAACTTAGAATTTTTGCCTAACTCCAACCACTTAGTACATAGCAACATTTTGAATTATAAAATAAAATGGAAATCTTTAAAAGAATAAGAGATAATTATTCAAAACAGAAGTGGTTGGCATTATTAATGTTGCATCTATCTTTTCATGATGTTGAAGGTTGCCAGGTCGAGACACAGGCTGAAAGATGATTCCCTGGGCCTAGTTCCATGGTCTATGAATGACATTATTTGAGAGAGAATGATCACTTAAAATATATCCACCCTCCAGAATTCCTTTTAATACTGTTTTTCACCGTCACTTTTCATTACTTTTAAATAATATAATTGCTTCTTTGCTTTGCTTTAAAACTTAGCAAACACCAGCTCCAGATCTGGGCAAATGTAATCAGTTACTGAATGAGTGATTTAACAGGCTTCCCTTGGAAGTGTGTGTTCCTTTAATAATCCTTTACATAAGTTGGATTCATTTCACTCAATGCAATTACCCTGAACAAGCATCCCAACTTTTTTCTCACATCAAGTGCAAAGTAAGTTCTAGTCTAAATAATGAATGTAGTCCTGTGCCTGTATCTTATTAAATAAAAAAAGCATCAAACAGATTTCACATTCAAAGTAAAATGTGTTCAAGAAAAATTGCTTTCAGGTATTGACACACACAGATCTAAAGGGCAAAATTGAGTCCCAAATCTTAAAACATAGGCTTAAGCTTATAAATTTCATCCCACTGAGAAGTGAAGATTCTGTTCCCTCTGGGTCTCACAACAGGCTGTACATCGAACTCACAGGTAAAGGAGAGTGAGGGACAAACTGAGGCTGTAGCAGGAGCCGTGAGGATGGATGGTACCTTTAGCAGCTGCAGCTGAGGAACTGGACACCAGCTGCAGAGCTCAAAGGCAAAGGAAGTAGTGGCCTTGAGTGGGCTAAAGGAAGGTGCCAACTACAGAAATGGGAGCATTTCCTGGTGTTTTGTGGAAATCAGCTGCCCCAAAGTGCTGGAAGATGTGGGAAGTCACCCCTGCACAGGCAGGCCAGGCTGTGCTTATGTAGGAAGCAAAGGCAGCCAGATTTCGATCCAGCCATCCAGAAGTCCAGGATAGAACATCTCAGTGAAGCAAGTTAGCAAAATTTGAAATAAACATTTTATTTCTCTCCCTCCTTCCTAAAAAAAGGTGCATGTGTGTGTGTGTGTGCACACGTCTGTGCTGAACAGATGAGGTTGATCATAGCACATAACTTCAAAGGGTATTTAATTTTATAAAAGCAATTATTCCGCAGGGTCAAGATAGTATTTTGTATAATGTAAAAACTACCCTTTGATCGTCGTCTTAAGCATGCCCTATATTCTGATGTTTAGATCTAGGCTTCTATTTAGTTTCTTAAATTACTGTGGTTATAAAGCACATCAAAAGAGACTATACTGAAAATCTGTCTTAGAACTGCAATTAGGAAAAAGAAAAAAAAAGCTGCAATTTTGCTCAGGTTTTGTGAAAGATTAGAATTCCTAACACCATAGGAGTGGATTCAGGCCAGCCATTTGTCACATAAAAGAAAAACAATGACAAGATTAAGGATGTGCATTATTTTTCTAGGTATCTTACGCCCATTCATGTTCACTTTCCATATATTCATCCATATTACTAGATGCTTGACTAGAATCTCTGCTATTAAACTACCTGAGCAAAGACAGCACCTCTTCATTTTTTTCCTTAGACCCCTAAAAATAATCTGAGTTACTCTGCCCTTTGGACATTTTCTCTTCAGCAATGATTGAATTATTACAACCCAAATAGTAAGAAATGTATGGGTGGTGTTTCTGATATTTCTGGGGTCCACGGTCTTCATAGACTGGAAATAAATGCTTATTAGGAAGGGTTGGAATTTTGTGTTGAGATTTAAGCTACATTTACCTTTGTCCAGATCACAGAGGCTTTTTCTCTACGTGAGCTATCAGCCAAAAAGGGTTATGTCACCCTGTGGTCACTGCTAACTCTCTTTACAGGCCCATCTCTCCTATTGGTCTCAAAAGACTTTTATGTTGCAAAAGAAGAATGTGTATATTTCTTAAACGCCTTCACTGAGTGCAGAAATTTAGGGTAATTCGGAGATGTTCTCTCTCCCAGCCCTGGTTTCACTTCTAGGCTTGTAAGCTGCCATTTGGAGGGAAAAACCAGCATAGAAGCCAAGGCCAGATGGATGAAACCTTGGCATAAAACACAGCTGAGCTTGTGCCTTTGAGTCCCTGCCGTCTTTATCCTTTTTCTCTCTGAGGATTTTTTGGTTTTTTGACAGTCACCAAGTACTCAACTTCCAGGATCAATTTTTAATATCCTACCCCTCATTTTCCATGTTTTTCCATATCCCTTCTCTTTCTCTATGTGTTTTACTCTCCTTTCCCCATTTGCCAGAAAACAATCTGTACAAAAGATTTCAGTCACAATCATT